AAAAAAAATAAAGGTTTGGGACTCAATAGAAGAAGGGAAATGAGGAGCAAGAAGGGGATACACACAGGTTCTTCCATGTAGTCTGTCCTTGGACTCCTGACTTTCCAGACTTTCTCCCTTGAGCAAGTCCTTGGACTCTGAGACTGTGTGTGTGTGCGTGTGTGTGTGTGTCTGTCTGTCTGTCACCACACCTGGCTGCTATCTGCAGACCTGTGGTGAGGTGTCTGTTTAGTTCCTTGGCCTATTTTTGTTTGGATTTTTTTTTTTTTTTTTAAGAAAATATCTTTCTAAGTAGCTCTATATCGATTTGAACTTAAGGCAATCCTCCTGCCTCAGCTTCCCTAGTGCATGGATGCGCCACCATGACAGACTAGTTTAAACTAGTAAGCAAAATGGGATTAGGTCAGCAGAATTAACAAAGATGAGAGAGCATGCTCCTGTCTCAAACTGCTAGCACACTCAGCCAAAGGGCTGACCCCACAGTTGCTGTAACAGGGAGAATAAAAGAACAAAAAGGAAGAAAACATGAGCAAATACAAGCAGTATAATCATAAGGAAAAAAAAACGCACTCGCGCATGCCACAATTGATGCAACAGAACTTGGAATCCCAGCTGTTCAGGAAGCTGCCTGGAGCCCAGGAATTTGAAACCAACTTGGACTACTTAGCCCCTCTAAAAAGAAAAAAGAAAACCTTGAATACTGAGGTAAATTAGAGTCTCAATTTGAAGCTTTAATTTCTAAAAAGACAGTTTATAAAAAACACATCTGTAATGAAAGCACTTCTAAAACTAAAAGTGACGGGTCTGGAGAGAAGGCTTTATGGTTAAGAGTAGCTACTGCTCTTGTAGAGGATCTAATGTTTATTCTCAGCACCATGTCAGCTCTAACTCCAGCTCCAGGGGCTCAGGCGCCCTCTTCTGGTCTCCACAGGCACCTGCACTCACATGTGCATACATACACACAGATGCACATGCATACACATAATTAACAATTAAATAAACAATTTTTAAAGATTGAAAGCAAAAAGATGCAAATGATGATTCAGGAGCACACTCAACAAGAAGACAACAGTGGTCTGAGAGCTGGGAAAATATTGCTTCCTCCCCAGACCTCTCATTTGAGAGAAGTTCAGAACTCCGCAAGGCTGGAACTCAAATCAGACCCAGCTTTAGGCTAAAAAGAAGACTGATATCCTAAGAAGCAAACAAGACTGCTGCCACACGGCAGCCTTGAACTTGAATCAGAAAAAAAGCAGTGTCTATGAACATGAAAGGAAGGGGCTGTATTGTTGCAGACTGCTGCATTGTAGCCACACACGTGCAGAACAGCACGTGGCTGGAACCAAACCACTACAGCAGGAAAGCCCCAGGCAACAGGAGCTCTCCAGGCCCCTACACCTCAGAGATTTCTGAGGGTTTGACTTTGTCAAGACAAGACTGCAAGAAAATGGGATTAGGGAGCTGGAGAGATGGCTCAGTGGTTAAGAGCATTGCCTGCTCTTCCAAAGGTCCTGAGTTCAATTCCCAGCAACCACATGGTGGCTCACAACCATCTGTAAAGAGGTCTGGCGCCCTCTTCTGGCCTTCAGGTATACACACAGACAGAATATTGTATACATAATAAACAAATAAATATTAAAAAAAAAAAAAAGAAAATGGGATTAGGTCAGTGAGTGTGTTGTGCACACTTGTGTCTATGTGGTGTGCATGTCTCTGTGTCTGTATGCATCTTTGTAGAGTATCTGTCTACAAGTGTATGTGATATGATATGTGTCCAAGTGACTGTGTTGTGTGTGTGAGCGGTCTGTGTGTGAGTCTGTGTGTGAGTGTGTGTGTATATGTGTGAGTGTGTGTATATGTGTGAGTGTGTATATATGTGTGTGAATGTGTGTATATATGTGTGAGTGTGTGTATATATGTGTGAGTGTGTAATACAATGCCGTGTGTGCCTTTGCATCTCTGTGTGTGCCAAGTGTGCTTGAGTACACATACACTACTGAAGGAGGAGTAGGCAGCTGTGGCCTGGGGCACTGAAAACCACGTGATGGCCCTGAGTCACTGAGAACTGTGGCCCTGAGTTTCTTCACACCTGACAGAACACCGTCAGAAGGCTTTCTCCTGAGTCTGGTGGATTCAAACCTCACAGAGCACTTGGAATACAGCGGTCATCTCACCTCCTGTGGGTGTCTGCAATCTCATCCCACCCAAGTCACCCTATGCTGGGGACAGATGCTGAGGAGCCTAGGCCACAAGGTCCCACACCTCCCCCTGTCACCTACCTGGGCGGCGGATGCTAGTCTGGTGTCAACTGTCCAGGTGCTACCCCCACACAAACTCCACCACTCCCTGCTGAACTTGGCTGTGTACACGCTACAGGTCCCAACCATAGACCTTTCCTTCCCACCTATCATCAGGAGATCACACTGCACATTTTCCTTTCTAATATGCTCAAAATCCTGTGATTGTGGATGGAAGCTTTCCCAGCAATACATGGAAATACCTTTGAACAAATAACTGAACCCCTGCAGCACCGACCCATGCTTATTGCTTCCTTCATCCACAGCTGCTGTGTAGAAAACCTCCAATTCAAAGCCTAACCATTTCTTCTCTAAATAAAACAAGGTGCTCAAAACAATGAAGGAAGTGAAAGGAAGTCACTCATTGTGACCAGTGCACAGCTTCACAGACTCCTAATGTGAGGAAGTGAATAAAGCCATTGATAATCCAGAGTGGGAGGCAGGATGGGATGCAGGGCACCGAAACTGCCAGCCTGTTCTAGCACCTGCCATACCCTTTGGTCAATAGTCTCATGATGCCATAGAATTGTGCTGTGCCTATGTAACATGAAGGACCAGGCTTGTTGGGGATTTGTCCTGCCTGGTACCCCACAGTCGGCAAGCCCCAAAGAAAATCACACAGAGATATCCATAAGTTATAAAACTGATTGGCCCATTAGCTTAGGCTTCTTATTAGTTCTTGTAACATATATTAAC